TTTATAGCTAGATACAGTGGCTGCAACGTTATTGTTGACAAGGTTAACCGTCCAAGGTTAATTGCAAGAACATCATCAATAGTGCTTACAGTGTTGATATGAATTTAAAACCCCAACTTCACATACATACATACCTATCAGAAAACGTAATACATGTACAGTACGTTAGTCCTGTATCATCATAAGCAAATTGATGGAAACATTCCAGTTTATCCCACGGAATAAAATTTGTGCAGGTTTACTAATACATGTAGCCAAATTTACAGTGTTATTTTTGAAAAGAATAAGCATTGTCTGCGCTTCCATATGTTTCAACATAGTTACATTTAGCAAAGCTAATCTAAAAACAAAACAAATTAATGGTGTCTGTCTGTTGGTGGCGGCGGTATGAAGAAAGGACTGCATGTATTGTCCCAAATTAACACTATGTTGACTTGATCCATACCCTCACACACCATGAACTGAGTGTTGGCGGTAGGGTATTTGAAGTAAATATTTCCATCGGCTAGCGCAAACGGTAACTGTGGCTGGATCGTCCTCAACAAACCTGTAGAAACCTGAAACACCCGCTGTTGAATCCTCTGACGTGCATTGATCAGAGAACGCAGTCATTCGGTCAAAAACGTTATAAAAACAATGACCTAACTATTGGTAGGAACATTGCATTGAAAATACGACCAAACAATAGGTTAACGTTGTATTTGCAAACAAGGTCATAATGATATAAGGACGATAGAATTTGTCAAATTCTGACCTTAATTGAGACTGTTGAAAACCCTGAAACATCAAGTTATGTGTCAGTCTGCTTGTAAGGTTTTACGAAAATCAACAGCTTAAAAACTTACGACTTTTCAACTTTAAACAGAACCATTCCCCACAATAAATTAAAGTCCAGGCTTTTTGATATCATTGACAGCTGCTTTTTCAATAAAAATGGAACTCGTAAATATTGTCATTGGTCATTTGCAAAATTATTTTGTTAAAAACATTCTGATTGTACACACAAGTACTCTGAAGCTGACATTAAAAAAGATGCTTGAGTTTCTGATTGGCAATATCTATGTGGTTTTTGGAGACCAGGTCTTCCAACAATCTATTGGAATACCCATGGGTATCAATTGCGCCCCCTTATTAGCAGACTTTTTTTGTATTCATATGAAGCAGAATTTGTCCAAAATCTTGTATGTGAAAAGAAGAAAACACTTGCTGTGGCCTTCAACTCGACATTTAGATATATCGACGAGGTATTGTCAATTAACAATGACTATTTCCATTCTTATGTCGATACGATATATCCTGAGAGTGAGCTTGAGATAAAAGATACCACAGAGTCTTACACATCTGTTTCATATTTGGATATATTACTTGAAAAAGACGTTAATGGTAATCTAACAACCAAGCTTTATAATAAACGTGATGACTTTAACTTTTCAATCGTCAACTTCCCTTACTTATGCAGCAATGTACCTTCATCACCTGCATACTGGGTATATCTCTCTAAGCTGATTCGATACGCAAGAGCATGCTCTACGTATGTACAATTTCTAAAACGAGGTAAATTATTGACAAACAAGTTGATGAAACAAGAATATCAGCTGTCTCGTTTAAAGTCATCATTTCGTAAGTTCTATGGTCGATACAATGACCTTGTCAGCAAATACAATTTATCATTAAGTCAAATGCTGACTGACGTTTTTCATACTAATTGTTAGGCCATTATTTACACACTGAATTGTCGACGGATTTTTCCGTTATTTTCCGATCATGACAAGGGACACACGGCGGGTGTGACCGGTCGACAGGGGATGCTCACTCCTCCATGGCACCTGATCCCACCTCTGATGTTTGGAGGTCCGTGTTTGCTCTGCTCCTATTTTATATTGTTTAATGGACTTTTGAGCTTGAATACTGTTCGTTATCTCCATATATTTCATGCTCTTGAGTATCAATTAATTTGCTAAACTTGAACACCATATACAGATGACAGTGGAATAGGGTAAGTTGGCGATAGAAATGGTTAATTATCTCGTTAGTCGAATAGTTGACGATGGAAGATCATCTCCTTTGTCATACAATTAGTTGTTAGTTGGCCCTTATAGACAGTAAAACACCCAAATATGAAACATGTGGCAGACACTGGTGTTACAGTATTTTATTTCAAGTTCAATGAGATATATAGAGTTGACGTACATGTACGAAGGTAAAAGCTGCATGTCTAATTGTTAATTGACAATACGTTTTCGATATATAGAAATCTCGACATACATAATTTAATTTTAGATCTCACTTTTTTAAAGTTAACAATGTGGAATTCAATTTTTCAGGAAAAAAGAGAAAGTCAAAGTACGCCGTGGTATTTTTCGACCTTTTAAAAGGAAAATAAATGTGTTATTCATTTAGTCGCTCTCATGAGGGATCTCTATACCAAATTGTAAGTGTATTGTTAACTTTAAATTAATATAAATTAATACATCGTAGTGAAATAATGCGACTCTAGGCACTAGCTTTCAATGAAATAAAAACCAAAAGACGCTCAAGTCTTGTAAATTGATACATGAAAAATATGAAAACATGATTTATTTTTGTTCAACAATGCAATATCTGTGATCAACAGGAAAATAAATAAATGAATAATAATAAAATAAAATAAAATAAAAAAATATGAATAATTAAAAAGAAAAATAATAATGAGTTTGTTGGCAGGCAGCTTTCATTGTTACACTAAATCTTCATTTATTGTTTGCACTGCCTAATTTAATAGTTTACATTCATGTTGTAAGTATTAATATGGATTTTTTTTTATATCAGACAGGTGTTGCCCGCGTGGCGCAGTGGTTAGAGCGTCTGCTCTAGAATCGTGAAGGAAGGAATTGATCCTTACGTCGCGGGTTCGAATCCCCTGTGGGACGTGGAGACCGGTCCTTCGGATGAGACCGTATAAACCAAGGTCCCGTGTCGCAGTAGGTGCTGGCACGAAAAAAATCCCTCACTGCTCAATGGCCGTAAGTGCCGAGTATAGGTAAAAATTTGCAGCTCTTCACCGACAAGTGGTGGCTTCTCCATGTGAGTGAAAAATTCTCGAGAGGGACGTTAAAACAACATACAAACTAAACCCATCTATAAGACAGGTTCCTTAAAACGTCTAGTATTTCACTTGAACGTTTTACGTGAAACATCTTTAGTCTTTCAGAGATTAAATTTAAAGATGGATTCTTTCCTTAGGTGCGTGATGTTTGAAGCGCAGATCATATGATATAAAATATCTGTATCGATAATCAAATATTCCAGTTACCTGTCTTTATTCATGTCATATCATCTGATTACAATGTATTTGGTGATCACAGCCAAGTTTCTAGCCTATGTTCTTCGCACATGACACATTGTTTTTAGAATAAAAAAATATCTTTTTCATAGATTTCATTGCTCTTGACTATTAATGCAACAAATTGTACAGACATACTCTTATTTTGGCAGGATTGTCAACGAAATAATAATATTTAGAAAAGAACCAACTTAACACTGAGAAATAAATAATAATACTGAAAAAATGAAGAATCACTTCATGGGGAGACTTGCTACCATTTTGTTGACATCAAACTCCTTAAAAAAAACAAAACAAAAACAAGAATAGAAAAAGAAAGGAACAGTTCTTTTTAAATGTAAGTGCTTTTTAGCTCACCTGAGCCGAAGGCTCAATTGAGAATTTCTGATTGAAATTTGTCCTTTGTCTGTCGTCGTCGTTATCGTTGTCAACTTTTCACAGTTTCATCTTCTCCTCCAGAACTACAGGGCCAATTTCAACCAAACGTGGTACAAAGTATCCTTGAGTAAAGGGGATTCAGGTTTCTTCAAATGGAGGGCCACGCCCTCTTCCAAATGGAGATAATTACAAATTAGTGAATAATTAATGGCATCTTTTAAAAATCTTCTCGAGAACCACTGGGCTAGGAAAGATGAAACTCATGTGGAATCATCCTCAGGTAGTGTATATTCAAGTTTGTTCAAATCATGACCCCAAGGGGGTAGGTATGGGCCACAATGGATAATCAAAGTTTTACATAGTAGTATATAGGAAAATCGTTAAAAATTTTCTTCTCAATAACAGCAAAACCATGATTGCTCATATTTATATGGAAGCATCCTCACGTAGTGTAAATTCATATTTGTTCAAATCATGACCCTTGGGGTAGGGTGGGACCATAATGAAAGTTCAACATGGAGGAAAAAATGACACAGTCAAAGAAATAGGTAAGCATCTTTAGTTAGTGTAGATTCATTTTTTTAAAATCATTCCCCCGTTCTAGAGAGGAAGGTCGGGACAATTTATGCATTAAAGCTTTTCAATACTGAACTGATTTTTGCTTTTATCCTAGCCACAGTGCTCAGGTGAGCGGTGTGGCCCATGGGCCTCTTGTTTAAATTGATTTCAGTCAAATTAAAGGACCAAACTCCAGTACATGTAATAAGAGATTAATCCCAATTATATTTATATTTAATGCAATTATAATGTACATCAGTACAGCAAATCTATATGCAGTATTTTAACTTTCAATTCAAAAATTCAAATATACGTAGTTTCTATCGATTTTTAGTCAATACATATGGTCATCTCCAAATTTTTTTTGCAAACAACTCTTGTAAACCTCATATTTACTAAATTAAGGTTAACGCATATTGGCAGACAAACAGATGAAGATACATTCAGAAGAAAATTAATAAGTCAGAAGTCAATCATTTCATCATTATGGGAGTAACAGATTGATATTTTCTTATTTTACAAGTAATGGTGTAAATAAACGTAACTGCAATTGTAAAGGATGGATTATATATGTTGATTGAGTGCAGATGATCATTTTTGTAGACTTATTAGTAATTAAATCATAATCTGATTTATAATTTTTTTTCAGTCTTTCAGAAATCTTTTCAGTCAATTCAAACACAATATATGCACAGTCATGTAGTTCGTATTATCATAGCGCACGAACAGATTAATCATGAAATCACGCTAAGTATTTGTACCTATAAATTTCTTTATACCCCGGGCATGATGAAGAATAATTGTAAGGAACACAAACGTACAGATTATCATTTGTATCTGTACGTAATCCCCCAGGGTGACAACTAATTTGACAGTGAATAATGTAAATATTATCAATAATGTAACGGAGACACTGTCCATCCTGGTCTGTAATGTGGATACAGTCATTGTTGTAATCACTTGTTAGGATGTAACTTTGACTGTCTGAGGTGATTCCTTTCGGACGGTATGGCTTATTCTTTGGAGCAGGAATATGACCAGTGTATCTGAATCTTAGTTTCCCGGCTTGATTGACCACCACTACTGCCCCAGCTCCACAGTCAGCAACGCAGATATCCAGGTTTCTGTTCTCACTAATGTATTTACATTTACCAGATGAATAAAGAGGATTATATTCACCATTATACTGAATAGTATTTTTTGCTGTGCAGCCTGAATAACGGACGAGTTTTGTTTGTTTTCTGTCATCACTATCCATGATAACCAAGAGATCATCAGAAGAGGTACAGCAGATGCTATGAGGTCGCCAGTTCTCCAACCTGACCACATTCTCTGTTTTGTTGTTCTGCAAGATCTTCAGTGTTCCGTCATCATAACTAATGTAAGCAAGATCTCCACAGCCTGTCACTGCTATATCTGTTAAACTGTTTCTAGGAAGTCCGTCAGTAAGTGACTTGACTAGTGAAGTTTGATTACTGTTGAAGAGTTTTATGTCGTTATTTCTTGTTTCCAAGATTTCTTCACCACTATTGATGGAAGTAAAGACTGAGCTTGTAGCTTCATTCCACAGCTGTCTCGTTTCTCTGGAGGAAAAACATACTCTTTTTGGCTCGTACAAATGTTGTTTGACTTGAGAAGATCCAATTTCTTGCGATTTTGGCGCTCCTTTGATACTGTAGCCATATTTTTCATATATGAAGGATAGATTTGTTAAATTCCCAAACAAATCCCTAAATTTGCAGATTGCATCTTGAACCTGCAATGGTGTGAATACTGGAAAAGATCCAACAAGTTTTCGAGGGAGGCGCTTGAATTGCTCATTTAGTGATGTATAGCTCAATGTCAAAGATACATCATTGGCATCTGCTAGATTTTCACAAAGTTGAACTGCCTCATGAATTGTCTCAACCTTTTTAAGGATATCATCTTGTTGTTCCTTCAGAGCTTTGATATGACTAGTTTTCATTTTATTAACTGAAGCTTTGAGGTTATTAACACATTTTTCTATTTCTCTGTGCCACTCTTCTCCGTGTTTTGTGATGACTGTTGTGGTATACTCGTATATGCTTTCTAGCTGACTTATCCGGAATTGCAAATCCGAAGCAATATCTTGATAAGTAGGGACAATTAATTCTTGAAGTTCCTTAAAATCTTTCTGAATAACCTGCTTCTTATAATCGAACATATCTGACATTATGGAGAGATTATGCTCCTTATGTGTGTCATTAGAGATTACACACTTAATACACAGAGGAATGTTACAATCTTCGCAGAAAGACTCGCAAATGTTTTTTGAATGAGTGGCACACTGAGGGAAGATGAGAGTGGAGTTTCTGTCCTTGATGTCAACGATTCTGTGAGCTTTGTAGAGATCATTTGAAAAGTGCTCTCCAACACACACCTTGCACAGATTGACAAAGCATGTATCACAGTGCATCTGAACTATACTGGTTTCACAAATGTTACATCGCATAACATCCTGGGCGGTGGTGCGGGAGTCCATGATTAGTGGTTAAGAATTTCATAAAGATGGATGAATGCATTCCCTAAAAAAGGTTGTAATAATTACATACATCTCATTGATTGACTACGTCAAAAAAAAAAAATTTGCAGGGTAAATTATATTAGGATTATGCTGGATTATATATATATATATATATATATATATATATATATATATATATATATATATATATATATATATATATATATATATATATATATATATATATATATATATATCGTATGGAAAACAGAGTTATTTCAAATTTTGTGATTCAAAAAAGTCGACGATGTACATTTAAACACATGTGCTAAATGTAATATTTTACGCTTAGACACCTGTGCATCCACATCATTTTGTTTGTGTTTGGCTGGTAATGTAGCAACCGCTAATGATAAAACGCCGCTTAATGATAGAAATATTGTTAAGCATTACAATTGCAATGCTTAATGCCATGGATTATTGTATTAATAGTTGATATTTTCAACCCCTAATACTAAATTGACGCTTAATGATAGCTTTATATCATTATGCGTTACAAATGCAGAGCATCGCAAACGCTTAATGAAACAAACAAATTATCTACATGATTGACCGCTAATGATACAAACTGTATCATTAAGCGTAGTATTTCCACCCTTTAATGATAGAAAATTTAAAAATTGTTGCCAATCTTTAAGAGAAACACATCTCGAACGTTCCCTCCATCTAAATAACAATAATAGCCTAATAAAACCTGTCCAACTTGACATGCAATTGAAGACAAAACTTGTGTCGGAGTAGACAAGATGTTGGATTACAAAATGTAAAGAACATTGAAAACAGTAAAATGGAAATTTAAATAAAGGTCGGAATTCACAGTGAAACGGATTGCACAGGTGTCGTATTAGATAGCGTTCCCTGAGGCTTAATTTGTTCCGATCAATATTCAATGTGAAAGGACCCATCTGGGCCCCTGGTTTAGGATGTATATAAGAACGATGCAACAATCCGTTCTTTAAAAGACCTGTTGTCATACCTCTTTCAAAATGAGCATTGATTCTATGTTATGGAATTCCTAAAGGTCACAGGACATGACATTTTCCAAATTTTCTCCTTCTTACATAAATTTTCATCAATTTTACAGCAAATTTGTTAAAGAAAATACAGAGCACAAACATACCTATTTACCGAATTTATAAATCTAATGCACTTGTATCAGGGGCATCTTGTGTATAAAAATCTCAGATAGTCAAGCCTCTGCTTTATGTTTTGAAAAGTACTAGTATCTCAAATTTGACGAAATTACATCAGATTCGAGGTAATTCTGTAAAATGTCTTACTTTGGGACTATCTTGTGGACCCTAATGTACGCTTTAAATCAAACTAATAACTGGTTTTAAATCAAGCAAACCTTAAAAATTATGAATTATCTATAAATATACTGGAAGGTAAAAGAAAACGGTAAAGTTTTGAAGTGGATTAAAGCTATTTTTTTAACGTATTTTCAGTATTGTTATCCAACATTTACATTCATCTTTAATGAACAAGTTGCCAAAATCTCATTTGAGTTTGACTGATAATTCATATGTTATTGAAATTCATCTGACGGTACCCCCCCCCCCCCCCGCCCCACACACACACACACACATTTGAAAATAAAATAAAAATTCTCATAATCACCCTCGAGCATCTACCACAGCCTTGACTCTGCTCTACATGGAGTTCATTAGTGCATTTATCTTTATCATAGGGATATTATTCAACCCTTTCGACAGGATAGCCCTGGTCGAGAGTAGCTGGGGAATTCAGACGCCTTCAGTTAGTCCCACCGATTTTCGAGATTTTCAAAGAAATTTTAATACATAACTGCAGAAAATAATGAGAATACTTATTGAAGCAGTTTGAATTAATTCTAAAGAGATTAAAGTACATTTCCACTTATATTATACAGTGGTGAAAACTGAAACGTAACTTTATTTTTCTGTTTACCATGTCTCCCCGTGCTATTCACTTAGCTTCCTAGCTACACTTCCGCAATTTACCTTATCCTTTAACAGGCTCGCTGTAGTCTCAGTAAATCTCGCCAGAGCTAATTCGAACTCCCCGGGTATTATATAAAAAGTTCATGTTTTTTAGGGAAACAGTTGAAATTGACGCCCCAAAGAAAACCATTGTCAATTAACCTCCGCGTCAGCGGCAGTTGACAATGGTTTTCCTTGGGGTGTCAATTTCAACTGTTACCCTAAAAAACACGCACTTTTTTTTTTATTATACTTAATGTCTTATTGATTTAGGATGCCAGCAATAAATTAAAAAAATATCGGAGGTTGTCGTTAAGTACACGCATAGAAAGCTTTCAAACTCCCCGCTTTTGTTTTTCTCAATACGAAACTTCGGAAAAGATTTACCGACCTCTTTATTGTTTGTTTGATACTCAGGGAGTCCTTTACCATCTAAAGTTTCGTTATTTCTGCACTCGCAAGCATTTTTCGCCTATCGTTTTTATGGTTTTGTTTTCAATCAAGCTACAGTGTATATCGGGCGCAAGTTTTGATTGACGTCAAATTTATTCAGCTTCTTTCGAATGTTGAGAATTCTACGGCGAACCGTACGTGCATAATTAGCTCGTGCGCGCATGTGATATTATCATTGTGTTACCCTTTATCAAGTGTGTTGCTAATGCTGAGGGTAACATTACGGATGCGTCTAAACGAATCAGATTTTAGTATTTCTCATGAACGATTAATAATTTAATTTGTACAACACCGAAAAATAAAGGGTTTCGAACACAGTAGGCTATGGTATTTTGACTGCATATTACTATCGCTGAGAAACAAGTTTTGGATCCTCTATCTTGATAGCGATGAAAAAGATAAAATAATTAAAACATACGGATATTTTTTTTCAATCAACAGATGTCCATTAGATCTTCATCGGTGTGAAGAATGGTTTGATTAAGTAAAATCGCGCTTACCGTTTTAACCATAAATTCCTTTGAAGGTAAACTGAAACACACGATACCACCGCTTTTGAGTCAACATAAAGACGCAATTAGCATAAAACAGTTATTATCAATGCCGATCACTGCTCTATCATTATAAACAGGAATTTTCTGAACTTGATTGCAAAACATCGCTAACGCACGGTATTCAATTTGTCGTCACGGCCAGGTGATGTTAGAGGACCGACGACATCCAAAAAATTCAATGCTTAAATATAAGTAATCGATAACAAGGTTAAAAAGTTCACTTGGAAATGAACTTGGTTGGTACGTAATAAAATCTACTGGGAAGCTTTTCAGGCTTCATAGGATTTGATCACGTGACAAACCAAGTTCATTTCCCAGAGAACTTTTTAACTTTCTTATTTATTTCTTAAAAAATTGCACTATTAGACTCAGCTATGGAAATGCAACTAGGTACCATGCGACGTAATATGACGTCACAGGCTAAGTTTGATTGATTGTATATTTTTTATGTCCCATTCGAGAATTTTCACTGATATAGAGACTTCGACATATACCGGTGAAGGGCTTCAAATTTAGACCTATACTCGGCACTTAGGGCTATAGAGCAGTGAGGGTTCTTTATTCTGCCAATGCCTACCGGGACCTCGGTTTTTAAGGTCTCATCCGAAAGATCCGTGACTTTCGCTTCAAATGCCGGGCGCTTGACAAAGTCACTACCCATGTTTACGTCTTAGGTCTTGACGCGGCGCGGTGAATGAGAATCGAATCCGGGCATCCCGATCACGAAGAGAACGCCCTCACTGTAGGTGACCGTGACCGTCAGTCTAGGTTTGAAGAAGCGGATCATAGTTCAACGTTAAAGCTATGTGAAGGTTTGTGATGGTACTGTATACAATTGCATGTGCTCGCCCAAACGATCGCACCGCAAAACATGTTAAATTATTAGTAGAGATATAATTATAAGCAATAACATGTCCTTGGTTGTTAATGTAGTGATTACGGTTGCAATCATTGGACAATTAAAATGACCCGCTTCACAATTAAAACAATTATTAAAATAAACCCAGGTCCATCAGGTCCACTGAAATAAAAGACTTGTAAATCTCTTTTTATTGTGTCTTACCTGTAAATCAAAGATGGCCTCCCTATATTACAAAATATTCCTGGTATTGATTATTACAGTCATGCTTTCAGGTCAGGTGATTTAAAAATCTGTCAGTATTATGCGTGAATCCTCTCTTACGGTGCATATATCGGGTAATATGTTAGAAGATATGCTAGTTCTGTTTTTTTTCCCCTGTTGAGAGTGAACATTTACTCGTAATGTGTATATGCTTACATTCTCAATGACACCGTTCACGGTAGCTCAGTCGGTAGAGCGGTCGCTTCGTGATCGGAAGCTCGGGAAATCGCATCTTGGCCAAGACTGACTTAAGTCGATAAAAAATGGGTAGCAACTGTTCGTTCGCCAAGCACTTGGCACTTTCAAGTGAAAGTTGCAGGTCCTTCGGATGAGAACTTAAAAACCGAGGACCCGTGTCACGGCAGGCGTTGGCACGATAAAGATCCCTCACTGCTCAATGGCCCTGAGTGCCGAGTAAAAGTCCAAATTTGAGACCCTTCATCGGTATATGATGACGTCTCTATGTGAGTGAAAAATTCTCGAGCGGGACATAAAACATCATAAAATCAATCAACAAATCATTTTTCTCTTTCAAAGTATTTACAGTATTGTAAATGATTGAATTGATTGATTGTTGAATGATCACTGATGTTCTCGTATATAAAAGTAAGTTCTATATTATACTAAATTGTGTACGGAATTTCTCTGTATACCCGACAGGGGATGCCTACTCCTTCATGGTACTTGATCCCATCTCGGATTTTGGATCTTGGCCAAGACTGACCTAAGTCGTTAAAAAATGGACAGCAACTGTTTCAGGGGGTCAATGTTTGTCCTGCCCTCACTTTGTATTGTTTTTAATTACATGTAGGACTTTTGAGCATGAATACTGTTCGCTATCTCCACATTTCATTTCAAAACATAAAC